TTTGGCCAAATACGTTTTCTCTGAACTAAAATTTAATGTGCCTAACTATTTAAGTACATCCAGAATAATACACAAGCACCAAGAAATGACCTCGAAAACCCATAAGTGGCGAGTAATTAGCATTGCAAAAGTAATTAAAATATTCCTAAAATCATTTGAACATTTTCTAAAAGCCATTTGAACAAGTTATAATCAAGATATCAAATTTTGGTTAACAGATCCTTAAGCAGCACATTCAGGAGTACCTATACTGAAATTTTGAACAAAATCCATTTTTTGGCCGAAATGACAAATTTTTAGAGTGATTATTGAGCAACAAAAGTGATTTTTCAACTGAAAGAAAGTAGTTATTCCAAATTGGTTTTTAGTTAGTGTTTTAATGTTTTGTTTGCAATCAGACTTTAAACCTATTGTCGATACTGACAATAATGTCAGTACCGACAATAGGTTTAGTCTTAATCGTATAGCTCTCGTGACACAGATTTCGTGTCTATGGACAATTGTCGTTGATAGAATGACAAAGTCCGAGCTAACGCTTGCAAACAAACATCCAAACACCAACTCACCAAAGAGGAATAACTACTCTCTTTCAGTTGAAAAATCACCTTTGTTGCTCAATAATCACTCTAAAACAACACCACATGTGTTTTACGTGTACCTGCAAGTAAAGGAGAAACAAAACAAGCATTAAAATTCACACAATAATACATGTTATCTATATTTCAACACCTATACTTTACTTTACTTTACATTAACTAATCTCAATATCAATGATGAACTTCAATTATATTTCAACACCTTTACTTTACTTTACCAAAATTCTTATTACATTAACTAATTTTTTTGAAAATTTTTGAAAATTTTTGCAAATGTTTGGAAAATTTCAGAAAATTTTCTGAAAATTTGGAAAATTTTCTGAAAATTTTGGGAAATTTTATGAAATTTTTTTAAATTTTTGAAAATTTCCGAAAATTTTCGGAAAATTTTGAAAATTTTGAAAATTTTGGAAAATTTTGGAAAATTCTGAAAATTTTGGAAAATTTTTGAAAATTTTTGAAAATTTTGGAAAATTTGGAAAATTTCTGAAAATTTTTGGAAAATTTCTGAAAATTTTTCTGAAAATTTTGGAAAATTTTCTGAAAATTTTGGAAAAATTTTTCTGAAAATTTTGGAAAAATTTTCTGAAAATTTGAAATTTAATTTTGGAAAATTTTGAAAATTTTGGAAAATTTTGGAAAATTTTCTGAAAAATTTCTGAGGAAATTTTATGAATTTTTTAAAATTTTTGAAAATTTTTCATTTTCAGAAAATTTTTGAAATTTTGGAAAATTTTGGAAAATTTCTGAAAAATTTTCGGAGGATGTAAGGGAGGCAGGAGGAGGCAGGAGGTACATAGCAAGGATATACATCTCGTTTTCTTCAGCTGCTGTTACTAATTCACTCAGTATATTTCTCGTGTTGGTATAGTTATTATTATTAATTTGTGATTGAGTTTAATATAAGTAGACTTTTTATTTAACATCTGATTATTACTTGTTTCAGAACACGAAATCTACCTGGAAACAACTAGCCATGTTTCAGCGGCGGGATGAATTGAGCTTTTACTATCGGCGAAAGTGGTTCACTCAGCCAGGGTACAACAACCTACCTACCTTGGTCATGTGGAGTTAAGGACGATTTTGGCCAAAATGAGGAATGATTGAAGTTCCACTATTTTTGTGGGCGTTTAACTACATGTACTTGTACAATGAAACGCTAATAAAACAATATTTTCTTATTACTTGTTTACTGGAGTGACTTGTTCTGACCAACCACAGCTCTAGCGTTTTACCTTGTGTCATCTGTGGCTATTTAACAATTTTATGACTTTCCTTGGCACTTCCTTATCAAATGTCTTGCATACAATATACCGGATTAAATAATTTTGGATCTTAAGACCACAGAATACAGTAGGATTTGCCCAGGAGACGGTAAGGATCCCCACCCTAAATATGATAGGTTTCCATCCTCCTAATATACTATATGACTAGCCATATGTCTGTTCTGGGCAGCCAAAACGGCACAATCGTCTTTCATCAAACTTGGTGGAAAAAAAATTGCAAAAGCGTAGTGGAACAAACCTGGTCGCATGTCGATGGTTTTCTTTAGAAAGGCGTTAATTAACAATTTTATTTACGATGGAAAACGATCCTAGTCTACGGACTTAGCGCACCTAATTGGACCTGCTAGTCCACGGACTTGGCGCACCCTCATTCGCTGTCACGAGCATTCAGACTTTCACAAGGGCACGAAGGGCCTGCGATCATTGTGGTAACCCTGAGGCTTTGGAAGGGTCTCTAGTTGACCTGTGGCTCCCGTGGGATCCCTCTCATATGGGGCTCCTCAGGGGCGCCTATGAGGTCCCCAGAGGACCCATAGCTCTCATGGGGATTTCTAGTATATCCATAGGGCTCCTAGGGCCTCTGGTGGTCATGTATACCCAGGGGACCCTATAGGTATTCCCTCGTAGGGGCCCCTAGGAGATAAGTGTTTGTCCAGTGGGGTCTCCAGTGGCCCCTGGGTATTCCTGATAGTCCCCTGGAAGCCTCCTAATAGTCGATTGGTAGTTCCATGGGGCCCTGGGATACCCCTAGTTGTCTCGTGGCCTGGTAGGGCCTCTTAATAGACCAATGTCACTTGGGATCCATGGGGCCCTTGGGAAACCCTGGTTGTCCTCTGGTGCCCTGGAGGACCGATGTTCTCCCAAGGGGTATCCTTGATAGTTGTATGGGGCCCTGGAGGTCTCCTGGTAATCAATAAGCCCCTGGACTCGTTTGGTAGTTCCTGGGGTATCTCTAGTAATCCCATGAGGCCCTGGGGATCCTTGGTTGTCCCATAGGGCTCCTGGAGAACTCTGGTAGTCGTATGGGGCCCCTAGGAGACTAGAGATACTCATGGGGCCTGGGGTATCTCTGGTATTGCCATGGGGTTCTAGGCCTTGGGTCCTTAGTAGGCCCAGGGGACCCCTAGTTGTCACATGGGGCTCCTGGGATATTCCTGGTAGTCCCCATGGGGCTCATGGCTCGACCAGGAAGGGCCTAGTACACCCATGTGGCCCCCTTGGGGATCCGTGGTTGTCCCATGGTGTCCCTGATAGTCGTATGTGTATAGATATGTACATACCAAGATATGTGAACACGCCTGACACCAGGACTCTTGTTACCATTCATTGTACCATTTATTCACATGTCTGTATTACTACATATTATTATAGCATGTCTGATGTCTATGCTTATGTCTAATGCCTATGTTCATTTACTATGTCCCGATGTACTATGTCTGTACCGCGC